TCGGCGCGACACACCCCAACTTTGAAAAGTCAAATGGCACTACCTTTTTGTGATGCCTCAAATGAACAGTCTCAGTCAGTAGTATTCACCTATACATTATTTTTTTCTCACCCACTACAGGGTGTACGAAAAATATAAAGTCGAATAAAATAAAATGAATTGTGTTAAAAGGGTATTTTATTCGATCAGATGTTCGAAATGCATTCCATTCTGTTCTAAGCAATAGTATAATCGGTGTTCAAATGCCATTCTAACATTTTGGAACACATCTTTTGGAATATATCGGCATTCTGCATTTTATTTTATTCGACTTTATGTTTTCCGTTCACCCTGTAGAGGGTGGAAAATAAGTCTTGTACAGGTAAATACTACTGACTGAGACCGTTCATTTGAGGTATCACAAAAGAGGTAATGCTATTTGACATTTCAAAGATGAAGTGTGTCGCGCCGACGGGGTGACTCATCCCTTCACTGAAGTATGGTGGTTCTAGTTTTCCCTTACTCTGTAGCATTTGTGCCAAACGGCGTTTTCCTAACTATTTTATTTAGCGAGATATTCGCATTGGAAGTTTTCAAATTCAGACCCTCGAATTAATGTTTTTCGTACACCCTGTAGTGGGTGGAAAAAAAGTCTTGTACAGGTGAATACTACTGACTGAGACCGTTCATTTGAGGTATCACAAAAGAGGTAGTGCCATTTGACATTTCAAAGTTGGGGTGTGTTGCGCTGACAGGGTGACTCATCCCTTCACTGAAATATGGTGGTTCTAGTTCCCCTTAACTCTTTAGCATTTTTGCCAAGCGGCGTTTCTCTAACTTTTTTATTTCGCGAGATATTCGCATTGAAAGTTTTCAAATTTACACCCTGTATTCAGAGAGCATAGGAATATAATATACCCCTAAAGTGGAAAGCAATCGCCTTCTTCGATGGGCGATCATTTTGAGATCTTATAATTATACAATTGCTTTCCATCCTGCAAAAGGATGATGCCCCAGCAGATTCACTGTCTCCTTTGCCAATCAGCGATACAAACATCACCCCGAACGAGGAGACAGGAATCCGAAAACGTGGGCATCTGTTACATATTCGATTGCATCATCTACCTGTTACCAAGAAACTTTTGAAGAAGGAAATAGAAGAAGATGCGATTTTTCGACAAATATTCAAACATATGGAGTTAGGGTTTCCGCAAAAGGAATACGTACCAATTGATCTACATTCATTTTACGAGAAACGTGATGAATTATCCTTTGAAGAAGGTATTCTACTGTGGAAAGGCCGAATGTGCATACCAGATGATTTACGAACAAAGGTACTACACATGCTTCATGACGGGCATCCTGGTATCAATGCTATGCAGTCCTCAGCGAGGATACATGTCTATTGGCCGAAGATAGATCAGTCAGTCTATCGCCAATGTGCCCCATGCCAAGAATCATGACAAAATGAACAGAGAATACAACTGTATCTATGGGCTGCTCAAGCCGAACCATGGGCCAGAATTCACATAGATTTTGAAGGCCCTTTCCAGAGAAAGATGTGGCTAATAGTGGTCGATGCTTATTCTAGATGGCTTGAAGTGATTCCACCAAAGCAACAACAGCTCTTTGTGACATTTTTGGTCAAAACTTTTGAAGACAGAATGAGCGTGATAGACGAACCTGACCATCACAAACGCTTGAACAATTTCTTATTGTCATACAGAAATACAGTCCAACGTTCGACAGATAGGAGTCCCAGCGAATTAATGTTTGGTAGTAGGCTCAGGGGTATCTTCGACCAACTGAAATCTAACATACAGAGAAACATGAAACAGTTGAAGTTTAATCAAGCAAAAACATATAACAAAGGCACTAAGGAGCGCTATTATGAACAGGATGAACTTGTGTGGGTAAATAACCCTTTGAAGAGAGGTTTTATCCCTGGGTAGGTAATCGACCAAACAGCGCCTTACTCCTACATCGTTGAGGTATAGGGGAGCACATAAGAGAAAACATGCAGATCAAATACGACCTTGCCAGAATCAAAATGACGCTTCTTCAAATAATTGTTCTAAAATAATGATATTGAATTGATGTCTAGGCCAAGTCAATTCCCAGATATCACTGCTTCATGTAGCGATGTTGTGTCGTCCCCTAGACTAAGCCAATTACCAGATGGCATTGCATTCAAGAGCGATGTTTTGTCTTCTCCTATAAATGATACACCAATCCAAAATAATGAGGATAAGTCGGAAGTGAACGAAACCTGATTCCACTGGTGGGCATTACCGAAGATCCAGGACCTCAGGATAGCCAGGTGCCGATTCCAACGCCAAGGCGAAATCCTCCATGGCCTCGAGTGGTACCTGCTCGTTTTCGTGTCGATATATGAGAAATGCCTGCATTTGTTGGAGGGAGACGAAATGTAGTATCACTCCCTATACACTGTGTCCGTAAAGTATGGAACAAATTCGATATTTCCTAAACTAAAAGCCTTTTCAAAAATATCTGAAACACGTCAATTTTTGATTTTGATGTTCTACATTTCAACACTAAATTTCATTTTACAGTGTGATACATACTAAGGTGATGACGGCATCGGCAATTTTATCAAATGTAACATCTTCTATTTTTGGACCCCAAGTATAATACCTTTTTGGAATCAGCTCATTTTCACTGATCTAAAAATGTCACAAAATATAGGGTGTTACATAAAAAAAATTGTCGATGGCGTCCTCACCTTTGTGTACCACCCTGTCGAATGAAATATTGTGGTAAAATGTAATACATCAGAATCAAAAATTGACGTATACTTTACGGACACAGTGTACCTATATACAGGGTGTCTGTAAAAGGTTGGGACATGGCTCGGCTGTGGACTCCTGGGATGAAAACAAGTTGATTTAGGCCAACTTACCTATATCCAAAATTGTCTCGTTGAGTAGGTACAAGGCGTTGAAGGTTTTTTGGAAAAAATAATTTTGCTCATAAAAAGAGTAGGCTGAGATCGAATTCCATAATTTTCGACACGGCAGTCAATCTAGTACTTTTTTGCATAATAAAACAAATAACTATTAAAGGGTGGTGTTAGGAGTATATTTAATATTAGTATAAGTACATTATGTTTTTTTCAGCTGTGAACTTGTGGAGATACCACAATACGATGCCTTAGAAATTGATACCGTTTTTGACTTGAAGCTGGCTAGGATGCTATGGGCCCTAAAAATGGATGATTTTAGTTGAGGTATTCATGTCCACTGATATTATGGATGGAATGGAATCTATACTTATACAAAATTTAATATGAAAATTAAATCAATCTTTCAATTACATTCACTTATAGCCAGATTGACTTTTATTGAATAATTACTCGATGAAGGTTTGAGTTAACTGTATAACTGCAAGCTGGAAAACTTCTGATGTGTGGCCAACGTAAATCATCCTGTATAGAGAATGGATATTATTTCACTGTTTATATTTTCCACTCTGATAAAGGTTCTGATTATTTCTTTCGTTTTCTGTTCGGGCTTGTTCACATGCCCGAATAGCAAAACTTATAACATACAGGATGATTCATATCTATTGGAACATATGCTGAGGGTGGATTTTAGGACCAAAATGAGGCGATAGAATCGAATATTCTACAATAAAATATTTTATTGAGGCATATATATGGTAATTGGTCCTATCTCCATATTTTGGTACAAACAATCCGCCCATATATATCCCAGGCAACCAGATGACGAATGATCACGTCACTGTGACGTCCCTTATTGGCGATTTTTCGTCAAAGACGTCACACACCAATTTATGACGTCACTATGACGTACTTCTTATGACGTGATAATCACGTCATCGTTTCGACGTCGAGTCAACGTCATTTAGATGGGTGAAAAGAGACGTCAGATTCATAATGCAGGGACGTCTTGTCGACGTTCATTTTTCCCAGACCTCTAAACCATGGATACTTATATATCATCATGTGAAACAGAAGTATAACTCATGAAAGCAAATCAACATGCAAGTTTTATTGGAATTATTAATATACCCGGAAATAAGGAGAAAACTATTTTCTAAAAGACCTTGACACACTGTATATCTCGGAAACCAACAAGCTATGTATAAATACAATTGATTGTTAAGGTATACCTATATTGAAACCGTTACTCTAATGACGTTGCAGTGACGTATCTATGACGTCTAAGAATCACATCGGTGTGACGTACCAATTTGGTGAGCTTCGTCATTCAGAAATTTTTTCAATAATTTGCTATTTTGATTTTTATTGGGTGACAAAGAATGCATCAATATACATTACTAAACAAAGTGAAGCCTTTCCATTGCTATCAAACTATTCTTTGTTTGCTTTCATCTCGCCGACACAAACCACATAATTTTTGATACAAATACGAGTAACTGATTGCATTCTGATGGAGATGCCTACTGAAGGATAGCGCTGCTGAATAGCCGATTGAATGAACATTACACAGGAGGGACCCACCAAGCAGACTCAACAATGCATAATCAATATTATATAATGTCATCAGAGGCTAGTGGTGCCAATCACACCATGTTGAAGGAATCTTCTTTAAGTATCATCGCCAAATTTATTCATCATTTCGACGTCATTATGACGTCAGTCGGACGTCACAGTTTGGTGAGTGGATGACGTCAATACGACGTGAGTAATATGACATCATTGGTATGTGACTTATTCACGTCATTATCACGTCTTGCGACGTCAACTACTGATGTCACCTCGGTCATTCAAGTGACGTAAAAAAGACGTCACTGGAACGTCACTGGAACGTCATCTGGTTGCCTGGGATATATAGCCTATGTCCCAATAGTTATGAGTCACCCTTTCTATTCATACCATCAACTCCATTGTTTGCCACCTGAAAATTACTAAATTGCACTACTCATTCTACATTACAAAGACATAAAGTTTATCAGTGTAGATAAGCTGATTTGATGAAAAGTCATCGAAAGAAAACTTCCCCATTCATTGAAAACCTCTACATCTTCTGGTACACTAGAAACGTGTAACCGGCTTTGAATATCTGAAAAAAAAACACATCAAAATAGACTGGGCACTATAGACCGGCAGGTAGTTACAGATTTCCAGGCGTGATTTCACCCGGTAAGTATGCCTTTTGAAAGGTAGGTATCATCATGTTTACAGGGTGTATCTAAATAACACCGAAAAAATTCGAGGGATGTTTCCTTGTGACATTCTAGCAAATAAAGTTCATACAAGTGAGATACAGGATGTCGAAGTTGAAAGTATTAATTGTTTTTATTTATAACCGCCCTGTATAAGCTTTCATGGTGCTAAAATTCAGTATGGATGGAGACTGAGAAAGTTCCAACATTTCAAAATGATTCTAATTGGGGTTATCAAGTAATCTCAATGGAAGTCTCGAAAACACCTACATTAAAATTTGGAGTCAAATCAAATTTTCATTGTTTCCTCAAAAACTAGAAGCTAGATACAAAAATCACACAAAGGATAAAAAAGTTGTTATATTAGTAGTTCAATCTAATGAAAATTTGCAACTGAGAAGAACCGGTGGCGTACAACAGTGGCGGCTCCTCAGAGGAGGCAACGGAGGCTGAGCCTCCTCAGAGATTTTCCTTGAACTAATATTATCTATACTTTCCCATTAAAAGGACACCAAAATACATGGATTTTGATTTCATTTCCTGTTTTTAGTTGAATATTTTTGAATTGGCAACAGTACTTGCCCACGCATAACACGTTGAAGTCTGCAAATCACGCGTAAAATATTCAACTTGGCAACATCTTTAGGACGCTAGACTCCTTCGCAACTCACACGTGCAATGCAAATGCCCGAATACGCCCGAATAGCACGTGTTTGTCGGGTCGCGTCGCGAATTGCGGACAATCCAGAATCCAGCGAGAGTGCATTGTTTATGTTTATGTTAGGTTAAGGGTTAGGGAGCTGAAAAATGAGTGTTTTAAACGATTGCGATTTAGTGGAATACTTTTTGGTGAACCCATTCAGTGCTTTGTCTAATGAAGATAAATTGATTGTGAAAAACAAACGTCCGACACCGGAATTAAAGAATCTGATTGTAACAGGTAACAAACAAAATCGTTCGTTCAATTCTGATGATTATAAAAAAATATATATCTGGTTGACGGGATCTGAGGTAAGGAATGAGCTATTATTTTGGTACTGCGTATTATTTTCAACCGATAAGTCATCATGTTGGGGGCGATTAGGATATAATGGTTTGAAAAATTTGCCTCGCGGATTGGATTGGATAGACACTGCAAATCACAGGAACACATCTCTTCAAGTATTAAGTTCAGGTTAACTGGTAAATAGAATGTCATTAAAGCTATCGATTTGGGTCAGTAGAGAGTTGTTTTTCACAATAAATCTCATATCATTCAGCCTCCTCTGTCATGAAAGTCACGAGCCGCCACTGGCGTACAATAACATTCACCATGAATATCGATAAAATCACCCACTGTGACGCCACTGAAATGCACTAGAAGCAGCTCCATATTACTATTAACAAAACCACAACGTTTTATTGAAATCGATGAAACGACAATAATTGAGTAGTGAATGAAAAAACAATTTTTCATGGAAATATTAATATATCTCGAAAACGAAGCAAGTTAGGACACATGTTTATATAAACTTTATTTCCTGAAATATCACAAGAAATCACTCCTTGAATTTTTTCGGTGTTAATGAGGAACACCTTGTTTATTTTGATGTCAAAAAATGATACATGAAGTGTTTTCTGGGTTCTTCATGCATTTGAGCATGATTTCAAGATTGAGGTGTACCTATACTTGAACATGCCCAAGCGCTATATATGCCATTTTTTCCGTAACATATGAATACCCAGGAAACACGAAGACGTCCTGTGTACGTCCAGAGGAGGTAGATCTGGGACGTACAAGTCATCCTGAAGACGTCCAGTGTCGGTCGAGGGACGTCCATATGACGTACTGGGGAGGTCCGATGTTACAAGATAGAACGTCCCAGGGACGTCCATATTAGGCCTAAGTTTGGTATTTCATCGCCATAATTACCATTATCCACGTAGATTTGCCTTTTCTTACTCCGATAGATGAAATAAAATTTATACAGAGTAGAGAAAAATTTCATTTTGAATACAAAATTCAAAAAATCCCTTTCCTACCGTGGATCGATCCCGCGACCCTTAGATTACCAGGCAGATGTTCTAACTATTACTCTACACAACATTTTCTGAAATATCAGACTTACCACTATTCAAAACATGCAAATAAGAAGAAAATATAATATAGATTGAGTGATGCAGAAACACTCCACCAAATGGAATCAGACTGAATGGAATGTTCTGATTGGTTATCAGATATAGAACAGGACGTAGAATGTGCATATAAATTCATCTTTATATCCTTCGAAAGCGACAACCATATTAAGTTTGGATATACATTATTCAGGATAATAATATGATAACATGGCTAAATAATTCACTTCAATTTCTCCACAAAAAAATTCACTTGATTCATTGTGACCTATTATCAAATGAATCGGTAGATGACATCCAACACCGAAGCGGACCTTTTTTTTTTTTTTTTCTTTCCTTTTTTATCGCTTGGAGCGTGTGTTCCTAGGGAGGATAGGGACAGGAGGTATAGGTATTGGAATTTTTTTTGACCTTCTGGAGATTATATGTTGTTGGGAATACTTCCACAGGCAATGAATTCCAGAGCCTAGCTGTTCTATGGATGAAAGAGTCTTGATAAAGTGCTGTTCGACATCTTTCGAGTTTGACAACGGAAGGATGTGCTGACTGGGTTTGTCTAGTTCGTCTGATTGGTATTGCTAGTGAAGGGGTGATAGCAGAGATTTCCGAAGAACATTTCCCGTGGAAGTATGGATAGAAAAGTGAAAGGTCGCCATTATCATTGAGAAATACAATGAATATAAAGTGAATAATGAACATAGAAAAATTCAGGACCAAAGATGGACGACCTGAAAACGTACGCTTCCCATATAACACACGTACATACAATGGCTGTCCGAAGGATGTTCACAATGGACATTACGAATATCCATTGGACGTCCGATTATGTCCAGAGGGACATCCACTGGATATCCATCGGATGTCCATTTGGAGACAATTTCTGAAATTATCATGTTGGGGATGCAAACCTACATGCCGAACACTGCGAGGAGGACATCTTCCGATAAGGCCTGGTTCAGTAGAAACTGCTCTAGAGCTGTCGCTTCCAAACAGGCAGCATTCCATCGATGGCAGAAAAATCCAGGCCCTGCGACTAGAGCAGAATATGTCGAGGCTAGAGGTATATGCCATGAGACAATTCGATCATCAAAGGATGCTCATAATGCCAAAATAAAATCAAAACTTTGAATGTCCTAACGGATCCCGTTCATTTTGGTCCTTCGCCAAAGCTGTAGGAAGAAACTTCACTTCCACCTCGTTTCCTCCTCTAACCAAGGAAGATGGAACACTAGCCACAAGTGCCCAGGAGGAAGCCAACATTTTTGCGCATTTATTTGCTGGAAATTCCACTCTGGATTCATCGGGAAAACAACTTCCAAACATAACGCCAATTGACAGTCATATGCTCGAGATCACCTTTCGCCAACGTACTATAAGGAAGATTTCATTGGGTCTCAACACCAACAAAGCTTGTGGCTCCGACGGAATCCCACCGATTGTTCTCAAGAAATGTGCTCTCGAACTAACACCTGTTCTCTGCAAGTTGTTCAACTACTCTTACACTTTGGGGATATTCCCGTCCAACTGGAAAATTGCAAGAGTACAACCAATTCTTAAGAGAGGCAAAAAGACCCTACCCATCAGCAACTACAGTCCGATCGCACTGCTATCTATCATTTCAAAGATCATGGAGAAAGCTATCAACATTGAGCTCTAGAAATACCTGGAACAATCTATTGAAAAATATGGTGGAAGCTTAGCCGTGGCACTTGATTTCTCCAAAGCATTCGATCGAATCCTGCACCACGGACTCCTCGCCAAGCTTCCATCTTATGGCTTGCCTCCCCAGCTATGTTCTCTGCTAGCTAGTTTTCTCTCAAACAGGTCTCTTCATGTAGTGGTTGACAGAGATTCATCTGACTCTCTCACCATAAATGCTGGTGTTCCGCAAGGATCAATTCTAGCACCAACACTATATTTCTACTCCATATCAACAATTTGTTGGAAGCAACTTCATGTCCAGTACACAACTTCGCGGATGATAGTACTCCCCATACCGCCTTCTCTTCCAGGGCTCCAATACCAGCCAGGCAAATCAGAAACGAACGAGGAAGAACAATTCTCGAATGAGGATCCAATAATAACTTCAATCAATAGATTTCAATGCCTTTTCTATAGAAAAGTCGATCACACTTTGCCAAACTAAGCATGTCAGGAGTAACCATACCTTTGAGGACATCCATTTCGATGCTTGGTATCACTATCAGCAATAACCTTTCTTGGGAAAATCACGTGAGATCAATTGCTAAAAGTGCATCCCAAAAACTTGTTTTTCTGTTTCGGGCCAGGAGCTATTTCACTTCAAGTCAGCTGCTTATGATCTAACAGGCACAGATCCGACCTGTCCTGGAATACTGTTCCCATATTTGGAGTGCAGCACCCAAACATACCCTGAAACTGTTGGATTCTGTCCAAAGAAGGGCAATTCGTCTCGTGGGTGATGCCTCACTCACAAACTCACTCACTTCTCTTGAACACCGTAGAAAAGTTGGCAATCTGGCTCTATTTTATAGATATTTTCATGGACGATGCTCTTCTGAAATATCAACAATTGTACCTCCTTTGGCATTCCCCGCGAGATTAACCCGTCGAGTTGAGGCTTCGCTCCCCTTCGTGTTCACTTTGGAGACCTGCAGAACATATCTTTCCAAAGACTCGTTCATCCAACGAACAGCGAGGCTCTGGAACGCATTGCCAAGGGAGGTGTTTACCGATGCATATAACCTCCAGAAATTCGAGAAGAACACCAATTCCTACCTCATTTCCCTTGGTTCTCACGATGTTCTCTGAACATAACAGAATATCTATTTTCGTGGGAACCAGAACATAAAGAAAATGAAAATGAAAAACAGCAACACGTGTGGAAATAAATGAAAAAATGACTGCGCAAGGCGACGCCGTCTTGCCAATTCTGTTTTATTGCGATGCTTTTGCACGAAGAATACCACTAAAGCAAAAATACGTTGGAATTGAGACACATTCATACCAGTAAATATTTATAAACTTTGAGTGGGACATATACCGGGTGGCTACGGAAGTATTGCCTACGGAATATCTCAGGTATTGTATGAAGTAGGTTTGTGAAATTTAGAGCGTCGATATAATGACATAAGAGCTAAAATTTGAGCATATTGACATGTCGAAGTCAACTTCCGGTCTGACCGGAAGTAACATCAACTTTCTTATTTTAAATAGAAACCCTATTTTTTTTTCTTTTCGCTTTATTCAGCATTCAATTCATTTTCTAATGACATATCACAAGTTGTTATCTAACCAGAAACTAGATCAGAAAAAAATTATTATTGAAATTCACCGAGTAGGCCGTGGAAGCAAAATGAAAGCCAAAAAATTACTTTCTATTATATCATTAGAAAGGAATGGTTATGCTGAATAGTACAGGCAAGAAAAAGTTGTATGTTCCTATTCAAGTTATGGACCTACAGGGTATTGTTTTTTTCCCAATTTTTCCAATATTTTTTTTGGCCGCTTTTTATAACGCCGACGAATGAAAATAAAATATCACAGTAGTACCAACTGTTATCAAGTGACGTATGGTTTCCATAGTCAACTTTTCAATTTTTGGCTTTCATTTTGCTTCCACGGCCTACTCGGTGAATTTCAATAATAATTTGTTTCTGATCTAGTTTCTGGTTGGATATACCAGCTTGTGATATGTCATTAGAAAGGGAATTTAATGCTGAATAAAGTGAAAAGAAAAAATAATAGGGTTTCCATTTAAAATAAGAAAGTTGATGTTACTTCCGGTCAGATCGGAAGTTAACTTCGACATGTCAATATGCTCAAATTCTAGCTCTTTTTTCATTATATCGACGCTCTAAATTTCACAAATCTACTTCATACAATAACTGAGATATTCCGTAGGCAATACTTCCGTAGCCACCCGGTATATACCCCGATGGGGCTGAAAGGTTATTTCGCGTCATTATGACCCTCTGTGAAATGTCCGAGCGCTATTTTGTCGCTCGCTATTTTGTCCAGCGCTGTTTGATAACAGAGCCCTCCAAAAGGCATACTCTGTGAAATGGTGAAATCACATCCGAAAATCTGTCCCTACTTGCCGGTCTACTACATTTCATATTTCAGACTGACGTTCACAATCAGTTCGTTGTCGATCACTCGAAAATCGCCGATGGAAAGTACAAGTGGTCTTTGTGTTCTGGCCATCACAATCGAAAGACTTCTTACCACTTCAGAACATTGATCGTACCATTTAGCCTGGAATATTCTCAGGCTCAAATTTGTGCTCTGAAAATGCAAAAACAATTCAAATATCCCAGTTGACTGAAACCACTGACGAAAATACTATCTCTAGACCGCAAAGTATACAGTGCCCTTCTTTAATGCCCCTCCTTTCATTTTTTGAACAGATCTACTGAACCGAAATTGACAAATGAAAATTTCAAGATGGTGACTGGGTGCCATCTGGGAAGAAATCAAATGGAATCTTATTGTGATACATTATTTTGAAGCTCCTGTTGAATACTTCACAACCCTGGAATATGAAGTCAATATCTTCACCTACTACAGGAACATTTGATAGTTGCCTGGATACATTGACGTTCACTTCATAATTTGGGGGAATAAGCTGATTTAAGTTCAGAAGATGCTCGAATTGGGTGGCGGAAATTTGATCGAAAAACAAATGATAGAAAAACATTTGATAGAAATCTTTTGATCGAAAATCAAAAAATAGAAAGAACTTTTCACCGCGAACATACATTTGATCGAACGTTTTATGATAGAAAATACATTTGATAGAAACATAAATGATAGAAAATACAAATGATAGAAAAAATATTTGATAGAAAATACACTTGATAGAAAATTCAATGGGGCTCTTCCACTCAACCTATATATATATATAATCTACAATGGTTTTACATGCCTTTGTGACATAAACCATTTCGTTATCAGATGACTGTCGAAATTCGCAGCCGGCTCATGGACTATCATTAAAGTGACATATCATTGAAAAGAGTTAGTCATACCATTCATTAGTTACATCCAAGACACACACTAGTTTCTTGACCAATAACTTCTGAACAAGACTCATTCATGAGTTCTTTTGTATAGTAATTATACACAAGTCTTAAAGAGTTAGCATTGAAAAAATCTATTCGTTTCCATGATTTGTATTCCTTACCAAACAATCGAAATGTTATCTTGAGAGCTAACAGCATCCCTATCAGGGGATCGAACTTGAAACAATTGTTTCTCAAAGTTTAATCCGAATATGCAATGATATGCTAATAATTCACCTCAAAATGCTTACGGAAAATTAATAACTCCTAATAAAAAACGTCTATGATATCATCGTGAAAATAAGGTTTTCGATTGAAGAAATGCCTGATTATACTAACTGATTCTCGACATTTTGAATCGATCATATCACAATGAGAGAATTTTTTTTTGCTTCTTGTTTCAACTCGTTAACATATGGCGGAAGTATGTCCATTAGCTTATCTCTTATCGCGAAATCGAGTGCAAATTTCCGCTCAGGAAAGTGCAATTTTTCAATCATTCTGCTCAGCATAGTGATTGGTACAGGTGCCGTTCGATAATCTACAATGTCTTTGGGTGTATGATAAATTGACATTCATCATAGAGGGCGTGGAAACAAATTCTGAATTGAGACTCTATCACGAATCTGCGATTAGAGGTCTATAAAAATCACAAGTTTCCATCGGACAAGTTTGAAGACCCTGATTGGGGATGAAAGTGTTGAAGAGGAATATTCTCAGATAAATTATGAACATACAAAAATGCAAATATATTTATATAAAGCAATACATTGAGAATTCGCATTCTCTATGTGATGAGAATATTTACTCTTTCTCAGTTGATTCAATAGAAAACAACTACTTTCCTGGCTATATGCCACGACGAACATTGAATTATATCTATTGAACACACACGATAAGAGTTTGAAAATGAAATATAAAAACTTCTGAAATTGAGAATTTGCATTCTCCTTCAGACAAAAATATGTAAATGCACATCACATCATTCTGAATATTCAACAGAAAACAACTACTTTCCTGGCTATTTGCCTTGTCGAACATTGAATTTTATCTGATAAACATTCAAAAGGAGAACATGAAAAATAAAGAATAAAATCCTCCGAAATTGAGAATTGATATTCTCCTTCAAATCGGATGAATAATATGATGTATAATGATGATATAGAAATATAACTTACAGATGAAAATTGTGTAGGTATATCATGAAGAATGGCTGTAAGAATAAGTGGACATCATGGTTACTGATGAAGATTCAGAAATCTGAAATGGTTTAATTGCAATAAAGTCATATAACCTGAGTGTGAGAGATAATATTTCCCATATCACTGATATGAATGATTATTTTTTTGGAAGTTTTCAAGCTCATCAAGATCAGAGTTTATGCCAGTATACTTCTCCTATACATTCCAAATTTCATTTCAATGCTGAATATATTGGTAAGTTATATTTCTATATCATTATACATCATTTTATTCATCCGATTTGAAGAAAAATGTCAATTCTCAATCTCGGAGGATTTCATTCTTTATTTTTCATGTTCTCCTTTTGAATGTTCATCAGATATAATTCAATGTTCGACGGGGCAAATAGCCAGGAAAGTAGTTGTTTTCTGTTGAATATTCAGAATGATGTGTGCATATACATATTTTTGTCTGAAGGAGAATACAAATTCTCAATTTCAGAAGTTTTTATATTTTATTTTCAAACTCTTATCGTGTGTGTTCAATAGATATAATTCAATGTTCGTCGTGGCATATAGCCAGGAAAGTAGTTGTTTTCTATTGAATGAACTGAGAAAGAGTAAATATTCTCATCACATAGAGAATGCGAATTCTCAATGTATTGCTTTATATAAATATATATCCATTTTTGTATGTTCATAATTCATCTGAGAATATTCCTTTTCAGTAATACTTACTTTCAATGATAACTCATTGGCATTATAGTAAACCATCATGACTTGAATCAGTAGCCCTATCAGAATGAACATGAAAAAAACAATTTCTCCCTTACTGGTTGCGTGTATCACCTGTAATTCGACAAAAGAAATTTATTAGATCCGAGAATTTCTGAGAATGTTAAACTCACGTTCACAAGCGATACTGTTATTTGATATGATTTGACCAAGAATTCTCCAAATAAGTACCATTTCAAGGATTTTTTGACATCTTCAACGTATCTAGAAATCAAAAAATCGGGTAGCTTCCACGCAATATTTTCATAATTTTTCACAATACGCATTCATCTGTAGATATATCTACTAACTTATACTTCAATGTTAATTTGACGAAACAGCTAATTTCTATTTGAAATTTCAAAAAAAATTCGAGAGAAAGAATGCCCCTGAACGGAATATTTTCAGATATTTTATGAACATGAAAACACATATACAGGGTGAGTCATAACTATTGGGACATAGGCTAAGGGCGCGGATTGTTTGGACCAAAATATGGCGATTGGAACAAACATGCCTTAATAAAATATTGCCGTGAAAAGAGATACGGGCGTTAAAGTTGATTTTTCTCGTTTTTTGTCGGTTTTTTGCTAATAATTTCACTGTATATGAAATATATTTCAAAAAGTTTTGTGATTTGGTTGCTTTCTGTCTAGATATCAGAGATATTCCCTAATAACACAATTATGTCTCATGGATATCCTTAGGACGTCCTGTCGGGACATTTAGGACGTCCATAGGACGTTTGAATTTGGTACAGTGGACGTCCATTGGACGTCTGTGGGACGCACAAATGTCCCACTTGAGGACCAACTAGGGACGTCCTTGAGGGATGTCCCTGGGACAACAATCGAATACCTAAATCCTACAGTATTACTCATAAAGCACTACAGAGAACATCCTTAGGACATCCATAGGACAACATATCGGCAACGCTGAGTGATATCAATTGGATAACCATAGGATGTCCCAGGGACGTACGAATTATTCTTGAATTCGAATTTTTCCCTCTAGGACCAGATCTTGCATAACTGATGAGAACATGAAGCTGAGTTGATGGTCTGTAGAAGGTCCCCAATAGATCCTGAAAAAGTTTCCCAAGGATGTCCAATGGATTTACGTGAAGGACATTGACGGGGAGTATTTATAGCCTACGAGCAATCATCCGTCGGCGAGGTGTAACTTAACGTCCTCGCAGTGACAACATATTGAAAGTACCGACTGGGATGTCCGTAGGACGTTATTTCCAGGACATTGGAAGAGTACAGTACATGTACCAATTGGGACATCCGACGGATATCCCTAAGGGACATTTCGATTGTTATACGACCCTGGAAATATTAAGGGCGTCTGTGCAGAGATATTTGAAGGAATGTACCATCAGGGACATTTTATGGTTGTCTAGAAGGGACATTATACAGGATGTTTCATAATTGAATGCTGATCCTTAAAGGCGATAATCCTTGGATGATTTCAAAGAGAAAAGTTCATATCAACATAGGTCCTAAACCTCTTAGTTATTGAGCTACAGGGCGATGAAATTTCAAGAAAAAAATTAGTTTTTCCTCATAATTGTTTATCACTCTTAGATATTGTTATGATATTTTGTATACACCTTTTCATTATTAAGGAACATTTTTTTTGCGTGAAAGATATTTAAAAATTCTCACCAGTGGCGTCCGAACGGAATTTGAACTGACAATTTTTGAAGAAAAAAATAGTAAGGCACTGATTTTTCTGAGAACCAGATTTTTTTTTTCAATTCTTATTTATTTTGGAGCGAATTTGGTTCCTAGATTTACTTTCATACAACGTACCGTTTTCGCGTAAAAGAAATTAAAACCAAAGAATTTTGTTCCTTCAGTTCTTGGATATTGTTTTTGGCAATTCAGTAGACACCCACTATAAGTGGAAACACATTTTGTTTTGGGACGAAAATCAAACTTTTACTGTTACCAGTGATGTCCTCGTAGACCTGATATTGGATGTTTAGTTTAAAAAAACGCTGTACGCTTCTGATTTCAACACCCTGTAGCTCTAAAACTAAGAGGTTCAGGACATATCTTGATATGAACTTCTCTCCTTGAAATCATCCAAGGATCATCGCCCTTTAGGATCAGCATTCAATTATGAAACACCCTGTATAATATTTTAAGTCATGCCGGAATATGTACTACTCGGGACATCCGATTGATGTCCCTGAAGGAACGTTTAAAATCATTCCACATCAGGGACATGCCAAGGACGTCCTTGCATGGACATTCTACAATATGTACCACGTGGGACGTCTAAGGGATGCTATTTCTAGGACATTTGAAATGATGTACCAGCTGGGACATTCCGTGGACGTCCTTGCTCGGACATTGCAGGAGATGTACGAGATGGGACGTCCCAAGGATACTTGTTTTTGGTCCGGGACAATCGGACTCGAATTGTACCAAATAGGGACGTCCCTAGGACGTTTGTGTGCTATTAGGGTTACAATTCATACCTTCTGGTTGCATCCCGCATTTATTCATTCATAAAATGATTGTGACGAGGCATTTCAATCTGAAAAAGTTTGACTATTAACTCGCACCAAAATTCATTCTCTGACAAGAAATGCCATTACCATGCAACACCATCTGACAGGTCAAAGCACACTCTTCATGAATGAAATAATATTTGTAATTAACTTCTGAGACTCTGAACTGTTCAATAGCGTTTTTCTCGAAAACGGATGAAAATATCGTGTTCAAACAAGAGTACCTACCAATATTACGTAAAAATGATGTTTAGGTCATATTTTTTAATCAAAATCACTCAAAAGTTTCGTCAAAAAAAGTAACCAGGCGATTATATCATCAGGAATCATTCACGTGGCACCCCCTGTATCAAAATGTAGAATAGTACATAAAATACTATTCGCTGTATGGAATTATGCCTCTGTGCCAATTTTGATAACAATTGATGATTATACAGTGAAGTTATTGGTGAAAAACGAAAATAAAAAGTCAATTTCAACGCCCTGTATCTTTCTCCACAGCAATATTCTATGAAGGCATATCTAGGCCTATCGCCATATTTTGGTCCAAACAATCCACCCTTAGCCTATGTCCCAATAGTTATGACTCACCCTGTATAGTGTCTATTTAGTGCGTAATTCTTCGATATCTAGAAAGCCATAACCTATAGAGAAAAACTTTGAAGCATGTTCAGAGATTTTATAGATAACGAGTTAGGAACTCCCCGTATATGAGTTGTTGTTATGGGTGACATGTAAAAAAATAATATAATAAAAATAATTACGTCAATCACAATTTTCTTCGATTTATCAATTCAATTACAACATAATTTATGGTCCTTATCGAGCCGGATAGTCAGATATATGGTAAATATTGTTCTACGAAGAAAGCAAGCCTGATTTTACTTCTTCATAATCAGTACTATGGTTGATATAGGAGAGTTGAGATTTCAACGCGGTTTGATGAAATCTTCGTTAACTAGAGCAGAGAAATATTTTGATTCTGTCATTGATGACATACAACCCATTCAAGATCATATTAAGGTTGAGATAAATGCTCGTTTACAAAGAATTGAACCTCTTTTAGATGCTTTTAATGGAATTCAATCTCAAATTGAACAGATATGTAAGGTCGATTTGGCATCACAGGAGAGTGAAATGCATCCTGAAATTGTTGAACGTATTTCTTTTGAAAATTCATACAGAGTGGGCCTTTGAAAACGAAACAGAGGCTCTGTAGGTCGCCAAAACCGGATTATCAAAAAAAAACTGAAACAGGTCAACTACATTTTCGAGGGGGACATCTCTCTAAAATATTTTCAGCCCTGCGGCGTTGCCGCTTCTAACGAAAAGAAGCAACAACTTTGTTATTCCAAATGGAACACCTTGTATTTCATTGCATTCTTAGATTCTCTTCAAAGAGCTGAATTCATCAATGCATCACACTTGGGGTCTAGCTGTAATGGTTTCAGGGATATGAAGTGTTCAAAATCGAGATTTTTCAACTTTAAAATTTTTTTGTGTCGAAACTATTCATTATTGGTCAAAACGGCTCTCATGTCCCTATCTCAACTTGTGATTTACTATCCACTGACATTTATTTGAAACAAATACAGGGTGGTTCAAGATTCAGAATTCTGATCACCCTGTATCTGTTCCAATTAAATGTTAGTAGATAGAATCACAAGTTGAGATAGGGACATGGGAGTCGTTTTGACCAATAATGATTAGTTTCAACACAAAAAAATGTTAAAGTTGAAAAATCTCGATTTTGAACACTTTATATCCCTGAAACCATTACAGCTAGACCCCAAGTGTGATGCATTGATGAAATCAGATTTTCGGGGAGAATCTAAAAATGCAATAAAATACAAGGTGTTCCATTTGAAATAACAAAGTTGTTGCTTCTTTTCGTTAGCAGCGGCAACGCCGCAGGGCTGAAAATATTGTAGGACGATGTCCCCCTCGAAAACGTAGTTGACGTGTTTCAGATTCTTTTCATAATCCGGTTTTGGCGACCTACAGAGCCTCTGTTTCGTTTTCAAAGGCCCACTCTGTATTTTTCATTAATATCTCGAATGAAGGCCGCGATTTCTGATCATTTCGAAAGGAACTCTGTCAATGGAAATATTTTTCCCCCGAATATTCATAATATCAATTCTATTTCAACAAACGCACAGTCAGACCGAGCATCAGAACCTTCAATAACACAACAAATAGAGTTGCCTACTATAAAATTACCCACTTTTGACGGACAATATCAAAATTGGGTAGAATTCAAAGATGCATTCAATGCTTTGATTCATGAGAATACCACACTTCCTGATGTACAAAAATTCTATTATTTGAGGGCGTCACTTGAAAAAGATGCACTTCAAATAATAGAAGCAATGCCAGTTTCATCGCTGAATTACACAATAGCTTGGAACATAGGTACTCAAGGAAATATTTGAAATTAGTCGATTGATTGTGCACAGTCATATTAAATCAATTTTTGAATTACCAGCTTTACATAAAGAATCACATACTGAGTTGCGTAAATTACTGGACACTGTTACAAAAAATATCAGATCTTTGAAGTCATTAGGACAATCTACTGATTCATGAGATACATTAATGATATACATTATTACGAGTAAATTTGATTCCTGCTTCCCAAAGCAAAAGCTTCAAAGTTGCTTATTCCAAAAATATTTTCAACATTACTGGGTGTTTTATAAAA